TTAGGTACATTTGCAATAAGAGAGCCATTTGCAAAACAGTTTATATTTATTTCTATTTCTGGTTCTGGTCCCAAGCCCGGTTAATTGTGAGGGTTGTGTCAGGAACAGCATCCAATGTAAAAACACTTCTGCCAGAACTAATATGCAAGTTCATCTAAGCGACACCAGACCAGATCGGTCGAGGCCAGGGTTAACAACAGTCGCCACTGGTGCTGCTGACAAACAGGGTTCTGGTGGAAAATGTGTTAGTCAAAGATCACAAGGAAGGAAACATGTCAGGAGACAGGAGAAGAGGAAAGTCAAGAATGTAGGACTGAAGGTGGCAACTCTAAATGTGGGGACAATGAAAGGCAAAGGTAGAGAGCTGGCTGACATGACTCAGAGAAGGAAGCTAGATGTTTCATGTGTCCAAGAGACCAAGTGGAAGGTCAGCAAGGCTCGCAGCATTGGAGCACAGTTTAAACTGTTTTACCATGGTGTGGATAGAAAGAGAAATGGAGTAGGGGTGGTCCTGAAGGAGGTGTTGGCAAAGAATGTACAATAGTAGAGGTGAAAAATGTGTCAGATAGGGTGATGTGACTGAAGGTAGAAGTAGAAGGTCTGATGTTCAATGTTGTCAGTAATTATGCTCCACAGGTTGGATGTGATGAGGAGGAGAATGATACAATTCAGAAGGATCTGGATGAAGTGATAGAGTATTCCCAGGGAGAAGAGAGTTGTGATCAGAGCAGACCTGAATGGACATGTTGGCGAAGGAAACAGAGGGAATGAGGAAGTGATGGGTAGGTTTGGTGTCAAGGAAAGAAACCAGGAAGGACAGATGGTGGTGGATTTTACCAAGAGAATGGAAATGGCAATAGTCAATACCTATTTCCAAAAGTGGGAGGAACATAAAGTGACCTATAAGAGTGGAGGAAGGAGTACACAGGTCGACTACATTCTGTGTAAAAGAGGAAACCTGAGGGAGATTAGGGACTGTAAGATTGTGGCAGGGGAGAGTGTGGCCAGACAGCATGGGATGGTTATGTGTAAAATGACTGGTGTTGTCAAGAAGAGAAAAAGAGTAAAATCAGAGAAGAAAACCAAATGGTGAAAGCTGAAGAAGGAAGAATGTTGTGAGGAGTTCAGAGAGGACCTGTTAAAGGCTCTTAGTGGTAAGAAAGAGCTTCCAAATGACTTGACTACTACAGCAACAATAAACAGAGACACATGTAGGAAGATATTTTGTGTGTCAACTAGACAGCGAATGGATGATAAGGAAACCTGGTGGTGGAATAGTGAAGCTATTATAATAGGAGCTATTCAAAGAAAGAGGTTAGCCAAGAAGAAATATGACAGTGAGAGGACTGAAGAAAGGAGACAGGAATATAAGGAGATGCAATGTAGAGCAAAGAGGGAGGTAGTTAAGGCAAAGCAGAAGGCAAATGATGACTTGTATGAACAGTTGGACACTACAGAGGGCAAGAAGGACTTGCACCTATTGGCAAGACAGAGGGATCAGGCTGGAAAGGATGTGCAGCAGGTTAGGCTTTGTTAAAGATGGGAATGTTAATGTGAGGAGATGTATGGAAGGTGTACTTTGAAGGAGTATTTTGAGGAGCTAATGAATGAAGAGAGTGAAAAAGAAAGAAGAGTAGAGGTCATAGAAACTGTGTTCCAGGGAGTGGGAAAGGTTAGTGAGGGTGAAGTTCGGGAAGCTCCAACAAGAGTGAAGGGGAAGGCAGTAGGAACTGAGGACATACGAGTGGATGTTTGGAAATGTCTTGGATAGATGGCAGTGAGATTTTTGACTCAAAAATGTAATGACATATTGGAGGGTGAGAAAATGCCAGAGGAATGGAAAAGAAGTGTGCTGGTGCCCATTTTAAGGACAAGGGTAATGTACAGAGCTGTAGCAACTACAGGAGAATTAAGTTAATGAGTCACACAATGAAAATCTGGGAGAGAATTGTGGAAACTAGACTTAGATGAGAGGTGACTATTGCTGAGCAGCAGTATGGTTTCATGCCAAGAAAGAGCACCACAGATAAACGGAATGGACTGTACTTATATAGCGCCTTTCTATCTTATTGAGATACTCAAAGCGCTTTACACTACAATCTGTGTCCTCATTTACCCATTCATACAGCACTCTGCTAGATCGCTACAAAGCTAATTGAACAAATCCTTCTAAAGAGACTAATCAGTGCTTTAGATCACATTCATACACCGATGGGACACACATCGGAGGCAGTGAGGGGTTCAGTGTCTTGCCCAGGGACACTTCGGCATGTGACTGCTGGTGGATTTGAACCCCCAACTCTTGCATTGGAGGACGACTGCTCTAACCACTCAGCCACAGCCGCCCCAGATGACATCTTTGCTTTGAGAATGCTGATGGAGAAGTACAGAGAGGGTCAGAAAGAACTCTGTTGTGTCTTTGTGGATTTGGAAAAAGCATATGACAGGGTGCCGAGGGAGGAGGTGTGGTATTGCATGAGGAAATCTGGAGTGGCAGAGAAGTATGTTAGACTGGTACAGGACCTGTATGAGGACAGCAAGACAGTGGGGAGATGTGCTGTAGGAGTGACGGATAGCTTCAAGGTGGAGGTGGGAGTGCATCAAGGATCAGCTCTGAGCCCGTTCTTGTTTGCTCTGGTAATGGACCGACTGACAGATGAGGTCAGGCAGGAATCCCTGTGGACTATGATGTTTTCAGATGATGTGATCTGTGGTGTGAACAGGGAACAGGTGGAAGATAACTTGGAGTGGTGAAGGTATGCACTTGGAAGAAGAGGAATGAAAATCAGCCATGGTAAGATAGAGTACACATGTGTGAATGAGAGGAGACAAGTGGAACAGTGAGGCTACAAGGAACAGAGATCACAAAGGTGCAGGACTTCAAGTACTTGGGGTCCACTGTCCAAGAAATTGGATAAAGTGGTGAAGAGGTGAAAAAGAGAGTCCAGGCAGGATGGAGTGGATGGAGAAAAGTTGCAGGAGTGATTTGTGACAAAAAGGTGTCAGCAAAGTTCAAATGATAAGTTTACAACACGGTTGTGAGATCAGCTATGTTGTATGGTCTGGAGATAGCGGCACTGACAAAAAGACAGGAGAAAAAACTGGAATTGGCAGAAATGAAATTGTTGAGGTTCTCCTTAGGAGTGCCAAGGATGGATAAGATTGGGAATGAGATCATCAGAGGTACAGCACAGGTTGAACAACTGGGAGATAAAGTTTGAGAGGCCAGACTGAGATGGTTTGGGCATGTCCAGAGGAGGGACAGTGGGTATATGTTTTCATTCAACCTTTATTTATACGGGTTAGTGTCATTGAGCCTCGAGGACTCATTTACAAGAGAGACTTGTATTGTACAGTATATTGGTTACAAAGATGTTAGAAATCCAGCTGCCATAAAAAAGACAAAAATGAGATATATGGATGCAATTAGAGAGGACATGGAGGTAATTGGAGTGAGGACAGAGTGAGATGGAAAAGGATGACTCGCTGTGGTGACATCTGAAGAAGAAAGAGGAAGATGATGTAATTCATGCTTACTACTACTAACTGTAACTTCAAACAAGAAATGGTTTTGCATGTGACTTAAGATCCAAGAGTTATAGAAAGCTACCATTAGCTACCATTAGCTTATCATCTTGTGCCCCCATGTCCTTGTCTGTGGTATGATACTGCTGTATGATCTCTTAAACTCTTCTTTAAAACTCCTTGATGTCCTCCATTGTTGGGTGTCACTAGCAAATTACATCAGGAGTGTTGAGCAGCCTTGTGATAGTCCAGTCCACATTTGAGCCAACACTCAGTTGTTTAAAGAAAAGAACACAGAACCGGTGTAGATCCAAATTAGGGCAAAGCATGTCCCATTAAGCTTGATAATGGAAAAATGGCTTTACATCTTTGACTTCACTTTCCTTTTTAAAATGGTAATTTTCGCTTGAATTAATGTTTTTTACACTTTTGTGTAGTTGTTGTTCCTTCGCATTTCTTGCCTTAGAGCAATGGTTCACAAATTTGTTTTTGTTTGAAAAGACACTTGGAAGGTCAAAATTCAAAGACAATTCCACCTGCTGCATGTTTCAGCCAGAAGGAAGATACATGTTCAGCTCCCCCAGTGGAGTGTGCCACACAGTTGAAGAACTACTGCCCTAGAGGTAGAACAAATTTTATATTAAATGGCTGTGAGGTAGGACAGCACATTGGGGCAGTTGGTAGAGCTTTTACCTCTCAGTGAGGATGTTGCAAAAAAATAATAATAATAATAATTCGAGTAACATGGGGGCATTTGGGGGCTAACATGGGGGCTATTGAGCATCAGGTGGGCTTTTATGTTCCTATGTCTGATCAGTGTACATGCTATTATGTAGTCAAATCAGTACTAATAATCCTCCTATTGAAGGGAAATTTTAGCCCTTGCTTTTAATTAATTGACACCAGTTGCTGGTTAAACACCACAAGACAAAAAGCATTCATTGCATTGTTCATTGTTTATAGTGCATTGTTTATGACTGTATATATGCAACCCTAGTGCAAAATGTCAAACTACTTTAAAAACACCACAACAAATGCAAACTACATTATTTGTACACATACACACACACTTATTTACACACACTCTTCCTGTTTTGTAAAAGTGAAGTCTTTCACCTGAAGGAGGACGTGTTGGTCAATTCCTATTTCGCGCTCCAACCAAGTGTCTACTAATTTGCATCTCCCACTACTAACACTTCTACATCAGTTGAAATGTGAATAAATAAGGACTGACAAAGCAAAGTAAGAGCGGAAGCTGGGAGAAGGAAGAAAATCAAATGGGTGTAATGAAGTCCAAGTTACTTGAGGAAAAATTAGCTTAAGCATGAGGAAAGAAATGTTACGAGATTTATTTCACTGGGAGAGGAGCTTTTTATTTTATGGTTATAAACTGTGTTATGCAACTACATCAAATGCTTACCTGCTTCTGTCTCTGCATGTCTTCTTTGTGTCTGTGCTGTGTTGTGTGAATGCAGGTTTCAACCAGCCGGCCTAGTGGAGAGGATCCAAGCTATAGCTCAGAATGTCTCCAACATGGCCATCAGAGTGGAGCAGATACTGCAGAGCAGCATGATGCAAGGCAGAGGTATCAATATTATCACTGCATGTAGTATTATATGCCCTCTTATCATCAAACATCAAATAATCATGACAATTTACAACTTGATTCAAACCAAAAACAAACAAAAAAAAAAATCGAATTTTTCCCGGGGTCAGTCCAGATCAACCTTCTGAACCTTGGGCTTGGATTGGGTCAAGTTTGATTTGTGTAAACTTGTTTTTGAAATGGTTTAGACTTTTGGAAAAGTCAAGTAAGGTTAATGCAGAATTTTACAACCAGAGTAGACCGAAGACAAATAAGCCACATAAATCATGAGAAGAACAAACATTTAATTAAAGGGATGACACTCAGTTACTACCACACCAAAATTGATCTCAGTACCTGTAAAACCGCAGTTTTTGTATTTGCTAAGATTTGTTAGGTTGAATTGAATTCACCACATGCTAATTAGTTGGACAATTAATGATTAATTTCAGTGTTTTATTGAAATCTGAGCAGTTAAGACATTTTGCTAACACTAAAGGCAAACACATGCACAAATAGTATCACTCAATAATATTAAACATTGTTATCAACGGATCGATGGAAGTTCAGTCTCATCAAAATAAGGATAAAATGCAACTTTTTTTCTGTACTGTTCAACATGGAGCACAGCTGGACTCATGCACAGCTGCCAGCTTCTGTTGGGACAAAATTCAGCTGCTGTTGTTCACAACAGTACAGGGTCACCCTGCTGACACTAATCACTTCAAGGTCCTGGTCAAAAAGCCTGGAGGGGACAGAGGTCCAAACTGAGGCTCTGAGGAGCCAGAGGTCCAAACGGGGGCTCAGAAGGGACAGATCTTTTTTAAAGTCATTCCGAGCTTATGAAACAATCTCCTTTTTCCAATCAAACAAGCCCCTTCACTGTCCATTTTTAATACTCTTTTAAAAATTGATTTTTATTCCCTGGCTTTTGGCACAGCTTGAAATTTGTCTGCACTGTTTTTATTGTTTTTATTGGTCTTACTCTTTTTATTCTTTTGTGTATTCTTTTGTGTTTAAATGGTCTTGATTTTATATGTACAGCACTTTGTTTCAGCTGTGGTTGTTAGGTTACTACCAAAGTAGTACTAGTACTAGTACTAGTACTAGTACTACTACTAGTAGTAGTAGTAGTAGTGGTAGTGGTAGTGGTAGTGGTAGTGGTAGTAGTGGTTTCAAAGTGACCCCAGTCTGAATGGTACTGTTGCATTTCATCCAACTTTTACATCATTGAAGTGGAAGTGTGTGGCTTAATCAATATCTTGATATTATTCATATCAAATTTGATATCTATTGATGCTAGTGGGAAACTTGAGTTTATTTCTCTCCTCTACTTTCAGTACATTGCTTTTTTTTCATACGTGCTGCATTTCTGCATGAAAGTAGGTGGACAGTGGCAAGATCAAATGCAAGCAATGGACAAAACAATCAGATCATAAAACATTTTCAATGGCTCTTTTTGCACAGTAACAAGACAATTGATACACGCTTGCTGCATACACATGTGCGTACATATTTACTTGGCATTCTGCTTTTGAAGTAATGTCTTCTTCAGCACATGCGGGATACTTTAGGCCTGCAGAATATTCACTCTGGAGTCTGATGGTGGTTACATTTACATGATGATGTGAACAACCACATACATAAAATAGGTCCAAGCAAAAAAGTGGAATTGAGAACCTCATAAGCAGCTGGACAGATTTTGCTGAGACTCTTAGAAAGTAATTATTGGATGCACATTTTGTAAGTTTCAAGATAGTTATTACAGCTAACACGTTCTCAGTCATCACATAAATGGCTACAACTCAGTAAATTTGACAGAAATTGAGGTAAAAACCTGATGTAGAAGTAGCTGAGAATTATTCACAACACTACGAGCCATATTGCATGATATATATATATATATATATATATGTTATTGCACATAATATTTTTAAAAATTGACCAAAATTGCCATAAGTCCATCATTTCTCCACACAAGATAGTCTTAGTCTAAGACTGACATGAAAGGCATCAGGCATTATGTATTCCTTAAAGAAATCCTAGGAATTAAATTTTAAAGACTGATTTAGTTGCAGATTGTTTCTTTGGTTAATAACACAAGAAGACAAAGGAAAGCTTTCGCCTTTGCTTTCATGCAGCCATGTCTTGTTGTTTTCATCGTGTTTCTCTACATTTTTAATCAAATTCTAAATAACACTGAACAATCTTTCCTCCTTGCGCCCCGCTCTTCCAGTTTCTCTCGAGGCTAACTCTTTACTTGGTAATAAATGAAAATTACGTCTCCTTTTGTTCTCTCTAGCTGCATCTGCGGGGACAAAGACACGCAGCAAAATGAAAACATTGCTGCTTTCCCTAATCACAAATGAATTGAAATCCTGCTGGCAGACTTTATTATCATACAGCTCAGCGTCAATTTCTTCATCTCGTGGTCAGGCGTGTGCACGAGGAAACAGAAAGTCGGAAAGCGCGGGGGAAAACTTTCGATTCTTTTGTGCGATGGCTTGCAGGGACAGCGGTAATGCCTTTATCTAGTTAAATGACCGCATTTTCAATTGTTGCTGTTGTAATCATATTTGCAGACAGTGTGTGACTCTGTGTGTGTTTTCAGTCACAGGAGAGAAGCCCCGGGAAAGATTGTTGTGGAGAGACGTCTCCTTTTCATTAGGCAAATGGAGGCAGACAGAGTATGAGAGAAGAGAAATTTGTTGGTCCAGAGAGAGAAAGAAAAGATGGAGGAGGGAGGGAAGGGGCTTAAATTACAGAAAATACTGAGGAAGCAATAGCTGCAGTGTAAGTCCATCTCTGTTTCATTGTCTACTGGCATTGGCAGAGCAGTTAACTAAGTCAGTGGTGCAATTAATGCAGTGACCGCAGCCTAAGGGAGTAGACGTACTCGCTGGCATCACTCTTGTAACAGTTGGCAGACTGGATTGGTTTATGAACAGAGATCTGTTGCTGAGCTGTGTGGGGAATATTACTCCAATTTATGAACACTGTGAGTGATTATGTTAAGAAAGGAAGTGAACATTCCTATATCTGTGTTTCACTGAAAATTGATAATATGGGTGATTTATTTTAACCTGTTTCCTTGTGCTTTTTATTAAACATTTAGAGTTTATTATCTGGTTTAAAACAATTAAACTGAATATATTTGAGGATTTAACAAGCACCATTGGCTGCTGGACAATCTGATGGATAAAATCACAGTGGCTGCTGCTGACACGTCAGCTTTATTAGAGAATAAATGTTCATATTAAAGATGATTGATTTCTGTGAACAAAGCCAACAAACTGCAAACCAATTAAACAAAATTATACAAATTTACTTGGGTGTTTATCACCTAATTTTTACCACCCACTGTCATGAAATGTGGGTAGTCATATATTACGAGATGGTATAGGGGCAGCCGACTCGGTTCAGTGTGCGATCCGCAGTCATTGCACATCTTGTGGTGTCTCTGAGCAGGACATCTTATCTCCAGTTGCTCCCGTGTGCTTTCCATAGCTGCCCACAGCTCCACCTGGTGGTGCATGGGTTAAATGCAGTGAGCCAAATTTGCCATTGTCTGGGAACACACAATGATAACAACACCTACACATTATTATTATTATTATTATCATTACTTGCATGCGTGTGAGATCATATGATTTTGTCTGTTAGTGATAAAGTGTGAGTGTGAGAACCAGTGAGTGGATTTTAATTGAACCATCAGATAATAATCATTGGACACACATCCACAACTGATTAATGCTTATAGTCAGCCACATTTAAGATGGCTCCCACAATGAATTGACCTAAAGCCAGTATCTCACTGGGCTGTGACTTTTGGGGACTAGCTAGCAAACAGCTTGCAAAAGTTTCCAAAATGTCTCAAAGATTTTGAGGGAGTTCTCAGTTGCTATACGTGAGTCACAGACGTGTGCAGTCTTGTCACTTGAGTGTTGAACAAGTTTAAAAAATTTAGTCGATTTTTTTTTCTCTAAATACAGTAGTGTCAAAGTCGTGGAAGTCTAAAATCTGTCTCCAAATACATCTAAATGTTCTTGCAGACATCCAGCTTGTCACAAGAGTGTTAGAGCTTCATTTTGAGACCTGCACAGGAGTTCTTTTTGGACAGTAAAATATACAAGGCTAAAGACATAAAAGTCCTTAAAACACAATTGATAAATAATAATATTGATATGTTATAATATTGTTTTAAAGAACTAGCCCAAATCTGCATTTCTTCATTTTTAAAAGTGTATTTCACTAGATTAAGTGAAAAACTGCTCCTCCTTGAATTGCCACCTTATCGTGGTAGAGGAGTTTGTGCACCTGAATGATCCTAAGAGCTACTGTATTATGTCGGGGGCAATTGTGAATGCCCCTGGTAGGGTCTCCCAAGGCAGATTTGTTATAGGTGACAGGCCAGACAAAAAACGATTCCAAAGACTCTTATGGACAGAAAAAAGCAAGGAGCTCAGCCTGGACGTGTGTTACTGGGGCCCCCACCCTGGAGCCAGACCTGGAAGGGAGGCTCATATAACCACAGAAACAACAACTGAAGTATCTATTCTAAAATCAAGAAGATGGTCATTGATTTTAGAAAAGTCTCTTGAGTTGCTGCTCCTGTGGTCATTAATGGTGAAGCTGTTGAGGTGGTGCCTCAATATCAATATCTGGGAACTGTTCTTGATGACAAACTGACCTTTGACCCACATGTGAACTCACTTGGTAAGAAGGTCAATCATAAAATGTATTTTTATCAGAAGCTCTGTGCTTTTCATGTTAATATGACTTTTATGTGAATGTTTTATTCGCGTTTTATCGTCTCTTTTAACTTTTAGCTTCATTTGTTAGTCTGTATTTTTAACATGTAAGAACAGGAACAAACTCTTAGGGATTGTCAGGATGTGCAGCAAAGTTTTTGACATAGCCCTACAGAACCTCACTGACCTACACAAGGTGCAGTCAGTGAACAATGCCAGGCTTATTCTGGCAGATCCTGATCACCCACT